TGACCTTATTGTGTCTTATCTTTGGCACTTACATGACCTTATTGTGTCTTATCTTTGGCACTTACATGACCTTATTGTGTCTTATCTTTGGCACTTACATGACCTTATTGTGTTGCCAAGGCCATAAAATTCTTTCTTGAAAAACAAACTTGTCCCAACGAAGCAACCCCCGACCTGTTGTGTGCCCTCAGGTGATGCACGACATCCTGGACATGATGCCCGAGGGAATCAAACAGAACAAGGCACGCACCATCCTGCAGCATCTCTCGGAGGCCTGGCGGTGCTGGAAGGCCAACATTCCCTGGAAGGTGAGGCCTGCTCCTGCTGCTTCTCTCTGACTCCGCTCTCCGCCGTGTCTCATTGGACTTTTTTCTCCGTTGATTTGTTTATGTTTAGCTCATTCTTTGATTTCATGTTTGGAACAAATCGGGAACAATTGTTTGGTAGTCTTTGGTATGGTTCCAGTCTCCATTGACTGTAAATTCCTCAGTGAATTACATTTTCAGTAATGGAAAACTCTATTTCAAAACACTCTAAGTTGAAATGTAAACTTTCTCCCTACACTGATTGCTCTCTACTGTTACTTTCTCCCCTACACTGATTGCTCTCTACTGTTACTTTCTCCCCTACACTGATTGCTCTCTACTGTTACTTTCTCCCCCACACTGATTGCTCTCTACTGTTACTTTCTCCCCCACACTGATTGCTCTCTACTGTTACTTTCTCCCTGCACTGATTGCTCTTTACTGTTACTTTCTCCCCGCACTGATTGCTCTCGACTGTTACTTTCTCCCCGCACTGATTGCTCTCGACTGTTACTTTCTCCCTACACTGATTGCTCTCTCCAGTGTTTTTGTGCTTCTCCTCAATTCCAACTGGTGTACAAATTTGGGAACTTGTGTGTTGTACAGGTGCCTGGTTTGCCGACGCCCATTGAGAACATGATTCTGCGGTACGTGAAGGCAAAGGCGGACTGGTGGACAAACACTGCACACTACAACCGAGAGAGAATCCGGCGCGGTGCCACCGTGGACAAGACTGTGTGCAAGAAAAATCTGGGGCGTCTGACGCGGCTCTACCTCAAGGTAGACTTGTTCAACTTGCTGCTGTATAGTATTACTGTCATGTCTCTGGTGGTGGTTGGTGGGTGCTCTGGTGTGGTTTGTTCAACTTGCTGCTGTATAGTATTACTGTCATGTCTGGTGGTGGATGATACTTCCTTACTTAACAACGGGTTCAAGTGTTCTTATTGTTTTTTGTCTTTGCCACCATCATTATTTTAGGTACAACCATGGTTATGTATGTGGGTGGTTGGCAGGAGCTCTGGTGTGGTTTTCTCCTTCTCTCCTATCAAACATCTATGGTCCTGATCTCTCCTCCTTTTTTATATTTGTTACTCTCTTGTAACACTTCTAATCTTCGGCACTTATATGACCTTATTGTGTTGCAAATGCCGTAAAACTCTTACTAAAACTTTTTTTTTAAACCTAAAAGGCTATCTGATTTCTTTGTTCCCATCATGATCATGTGTACGTGCTTGTGTGTACTGAAGGCTAAACTACCTCTCTTCCACCCTCGCGTGTCTCCTCTCCCCCC